GACAATCCGGAGGTTCTGTGAAAGCATGCAATTTGGCAGATACGCTAAAACTGCTCATTGGATTTAAAGTAACATACCACCTTTCTCAGTAGCCCCGCCCCACTTCCAAATACAGAATTTCCGAGAGGGTGTAAAGGAACCAGGTACAGAAGAAAGCAGAAGGCCCTACCCAGGGACGTTTTCCAGATTGCCCCAAAGATAGGGATGTCTCAGAGACAGCCAGATACCTTTTAAGGCAAGTGTCTCTTCTGACCTCCAACTCCAGTGCCCCTTCACCCAAGCTGAGCCTAAGGTTAGAGCAACCCATTTCTGTGCCCTTCCTGGAGACCTGTTCTGTCCTGTCCCAGGTGCCCCAAGTGCTCAAGTTCTCCTCCCAGAGGAGAAAGCTTTGGGCATGCACACATAGTGCACAAATTTGCCTTTTCCAAAAGCTTCATAAGTAAAACATTTTCATGCTCAAACGGATCCTCGCCCCCCCCCCAGCTCCACAAGCCTGACACTAATAATCTAGCCGCTGGCACAACACCCAAACAACATCAGTAGGTCACCTACCCTCTATCACTGCAGCCCTGCCAGACTGGAAAAAACAAAAACAAAAAAGAAACAAAAACAGCAGAACATTGGCTTCAGCGCTAGGAAAGGCGAGGCAGGAGGATTGCCTGGAATTGAGGACAGTTAAGCCTGGTCTAGAGACCTTGTCTTGAAAAGAGAAAAAAACAACAGAGCACAGGCTTGCTCCTAGACTTGGCGATTTCAACCTGATCTTCACCCTGGCATATAGCGGTACCAGGCCTACCAAGTCTTGACATGGTCTGGGGCTTTGCCTGCCATGTTCCTGGTACAGCCATAAAGGCTGTGATTGAGCAGAGTTCACCAGCATGCAAACTTGTACCCACACCCTCCCAAGTGCCACCTTGTTCCTCCCTGATCCCACTGCTGTGGTTTCAGTATGGCAGGCCAGACGTTTTACCCCTACCTACCACATCGGGCCACTCAGGCAGTCCGACACTAGCTAAGATAAAAGCCCATTGTAAACAGAGGCTTATCTAATGCAGAAAGAAGCGTTTGCATTTTGGGTTAAAGCAACCTGGAACAGCGTGTATCTCCCACCAGACTCACTCACAGAAGGGTCAGGAGCCAACAGCCTGGGCTCGAATTTATCCGTTTACAACATTAAGACGCGTGGGAGTAAAAGACAGTAACAGATTCCCAATATTCTCTGGGTACGATCTTTTAGGTAAAGGCATGTCTTAAGCTCCTGAAAGTGGAATCCAGAGTCAGCTAACGCCAAGGGAATTCTGCAGTCCATTTTGGTCTGAACTAACAGTCGGAACTGGACCCTGTTCCAGGGGTACGAATATTAAGACTTAGATCTAAAACACGACTCCAACTTGTAAAGGCCAAAGTTTCTCCCCTACTCCCGGCAAGGGTGGCTGGGGGCCCGGTGTTGAGCTGCAAAGTAGGCGAGTTGCGGGACTCCGGGGAGGGGACGCTCACCTCTCGGGCGGAGCGCAGCTGCTGGCGCAGCGCATCCTTGCAGCCGTACGGGCCGCCCGCGCCAGTGCCGCGGGGCTGGAAATGCGCCTCGACGCGCGTGGCACCACGGTAAGCGCCCCGGTAGAAGGCGGGCCAGCCGAGCTCCAAGGCCGGCGGCTCCAGATCCGACTGCTCGGGAAAGTAGGTGCCCGACGAGCAGTCGTGAGAGGAGCCGAACGAGTCCTCGGCCACGGCCGTACCGTCCTCGACGGGCCGCTCAGCGGAGCCCAGAACCGCGCGCACCTCATCGGCGTTGAGGAAGCGGCCCAGCCGTTCGCGCCGTAGGAAGGAGGCCCAGGCGTCGGGACCGCCGGCCAGCAGCTGCTCGAGAGCCAGGCGCCGCGCCTCGCTAAACAGCTCGGCGGGGTTGGGCGGCCCGCACGGCGACAGGCAGGCCGCAGGAAGCTCGTCCAACAGCTCACAATGAGCAGCCATGGCGGCGCTCAGAAAGGGTCCACTGAAGTCCGATGGTCGCCGAGATTTTTATAGGCACCTTTGAATCAAACCAGCCCGCGCTATTGGCTCGCCGCCCCGCCCCGGATCTCCCATTGGCTGTTTACCTTCCAGGCAACCCAGAGTTCCCGCCCCCTAATTGCCATTGGTTGTTCTCCGAAGACTGACCTGCCCACTCCCAGCTCTCACTGCTGGATGGCTGACAGAAATTTAAATCTGAGTTTACCCCGCCCTAGTGGTTCCAGCAGGACTCAGAGCCCCGCACTGTCCCAGCGCGCCCCCTACCGACTGCCCCACAGCGTGTGCTCCGACACCGGGGACTGGAGGCTGGGACTTGCTCCTACACAGGCTTCAGTGTGGTCAGCTATATTGCCGTTCCTCCCTACATCTAATCATTCATTTAGTCATTGTTTTAAAAAAAATGGAGACTGGTTCAGCAGTTAAGAGCACTTCCAGAGGATCTGGGTTTGGCTCTCGTCTTTCTTGGTGGCTCATAACTGCTTTTAATGGTTCCAGCGAATCTGATGCCCTTTCTATTATCCATAGATAGGTACGCACACGTGGTGCACAAACATACTTATTAAATAAATAAAGATAGGTAATTTTGATGCTCTCTCAGCCTGGACACATGGGAAGGGCCTAGGTCCTGCCCTGGATGAAATGACAGACTCTGGAGATCCCCCAAGGAGGGCCTCACCCTCCCTGGGGAAAGACGTGGGGATTAGGTGGGGGGCTGGAGGGGCTGGTGGAGGGACAAGGGAGGAGGGGTGGGAGAGGGAGCTGGGATTGACATGTAAAGCATTCATGCTTCTAATTTAAATAAAAACATATATTGAGGGGAAAAAAGAAAGATAAGTAATTTTTTTCAATGGTGCAAAGCCAGGCGTGGTGGCTCACTCCTAGAACATGGGAGGCTGCGGCAGGAGGACCTGGAGTTCAAAGCCACCTTGTGTTGAGGCCAAATTCAAGCTCGTCCTATGCTACATAAGACCTTGTGAGCATACACATGTACATCTATACACATATTGCATACATACGTGTGCACACATCTATCTGTATAATTCACTGTGGACCCCATTCCTTCACTGATGGGCTTCCTTTTTCTTGCCCCCTCTCACATCATAGTTTTCTGCCCAGTGACACCTCAATCCCATTTAAACCCCACTTTCCACTTGCACCCCGACAACCACAGAGAGATAGAGGAGGGCAGATGGTGGGACTGTGCTTGTTGGCTGATAATACTTCACATTCATGATCTGAAGTGTGTCTTTAACCTTGCTGCCAATGCAGTCACACTACAATACTACGTATGTATGAAACTGTCAAAATAAAGCCATTATTTTATATGCTAACTAAAAATAATAAAAAAGAGAGGAAATGCCTGTTGGCCTTCATTTCTGTCCTTCATGATACCTTTTCCTGTGTCCTTTCTCTCCTATTTCACTGAGAAAATACATTTACAGGACATAAACAGTCATAAAAGAACATCCAGGGGTGATCACCATGTCTGTCGTCCATTTGCACGGGTGGGTGGTACCAGAGCCTGACCAACCCTTCTGCCCAGGCAATAGCTTCCGGTCCTCCTACCACCACTCTGTAGATCTCCATTTCCTCAACATTGCTCATCTTTTTAGAAAATATATTTGTAAGTATATATGGGGGCAGGGAGGTATGTACATGTGAGTACAGGTACCCCTGAGGTCAGGGGTGTCAAGTCCCCCCAGAGCTGGAGTTTCCTTTTTTTTTTTTTGTTTTGTTTTGTTTTTGGTTTCTTGTTTGTTTTTTCGAGACAGTGTTTCTCTGTATTGTTTTGGAGGCTGTCCGGGAACTTGCTCTGTATACCAGGCTGGTCTCGAACTCACAGAGATCTGCCTGCCTCTGCCTCCCGAGTGCTGGGATTAAAGGCGAGCACCACCAATGTCTGGCTCCAGAGCTGGTGTTTCAAGTGCTTGCAAGTCACACAACATGGATGTTGGGAACGCAACTTGGGTCCTCTGCAAAAGCAATACATACTCTTAGCCACTGAGCCATCTCTCCAGTCCCTCATCTTAAAATAACCATTTCTTGGCTGTACACACCTTGACCTCTGCAGCCTAGAGTGTCAGATAAGTGGACTGTAGTTGACATCTTCAGGTTTCCCACTTTTTTCCCTCAACTCTAAGCAAGTTCGTGTCACAACTCCTGTACCAAAACCTCTAACTGGGGTCACCACAAGTTCCACTGTGCCAAATCCAGCAGACAACTCTGCAAATAAGGAAACATTAGAGCCACTACAAAGCGCTGTAAAATGTGATCGTTGTCTTTTGAGACAAGGTTTCATGTAGCCTAGACTGACCTCAAACTCACCTTGTAGCCTTTTTAATCCACTACCTCCACCAAATAAATTTAAAAGAGATGAACGCTGGTATTAGGATACCTGTCTTCACCCTTTCCTAGCTACAACCTACTCAGGGAAGTCTTTTAAACCCAAGGGTGGGGCCTTCAGTGTGTCCCCACTCTGGCATCCAGTATCCAGAAGGTTACAGGACGGCAACCTTCAAGACATCAGCTCTTGCATGTAATAAGGATAGGGGTCATGGCCTGGGGCCATATAACCACACACTGTGCCTTAGCCTCTGTTTCCTGGTCCTGTTGTATGAGAAAGCCCAGGATGGAGCATGGGAAAACCCTGGACAAGTCAGTGTGTGTCCTGAGTAGGGAACAGAGGAAGGGGCACCTTGGTATCACCAATCAAACTGCAGGGCATCATGTAATTTCAAAGGGAATGTTTCACAGAATAAAGTCCAGTGCTAACCACCTGGAATTCATAAGTTTTCACCATCTACCAACCAAGAAACCCCTTCAGGTCCACCTGTGAATCCCCAAAGTTCTTCTTGTTCTGGGGACCTCCTGGGAGAGCCTTCTGTGTGTAGGCAGGTCTGGGAGTCCCCCCTCCAGTCACTGTCTCTTGTAGAACTCAAGTCACCCTATGCAGGTGAGCGCACAGCAATAACCATAGTCAAACCAACAGGTGTTATTAAAAGGAATTTAATAATCTTAATTAAAAATCCATAACAGCGAATTCCGTCACAGGCCTTGGCAGCTGGAAGTAACTCCAGGGGCACGGGCTCCTTGGGGATGTGGTCAGACCCCATCTTGGAGGCATGGAGCTACTTCAATACAATATCAAAGATCCATGAGAATTTTTTTTAAAAAAAGTTTTAAATATATTAGACTCTTTTGATTGCCATTTTTACACAAAGCTGCTGATACAGTATACAGAGTTTTAACTTTTTTCACATAAAATACATTTTTTTCCATAAGTGTTCTCTGTACATCAGTGGCTTCTGGTCTGGTGAGTTATTGCGGAGGGCTGGGGTCTGCAGACTTTTCCTGGGTGTGCAGAGCCAGGCCCCGCACAGTGGCACTTCAAAGTGTCCACACAAGAAGCAGGCCCTTTGAACAATAAGGGACTCCTGCGGAGGAGATGCCTAAGGGCTTTCTAGGAATGTGGTGGGTCACTTCAGTGGAGTTGTCCCCTGGCATGTAACCCTTGGCTTTTCTGTGCCCTGGGAAGAGGAGGCTATCACCAGATACAAATAATGAGCTTTTACACAGTCCTGGTATCACATAAGGATGACCCCTCTGGAAAGCATCCTGGTACCCTGCTTTGGGAGAGCAGGTAGGAGAGAAAGCTCAGGACCAAAGAGTATCAGACACTAAGAAGCAAAAGTCTCACACTGTTGCAAAGCTAGACTGTGCTAGGCCAACTAGAGGACCATATTTTGTTTTTATTTATTTGTTTTTTTGAGACAGGGTTTCTCTGTATAGCCCTGACTGGCCTGGAACTCACTGTACAGACCAGGCTGGCCTTGAACTCAGAAATACACTTCCTGCTTTTGCCTCCCTAGCGCTGGGATTAAAGGTGTGTGTCACTATGTCCGTCTGGGTGCCACACTCTTGCAACCTTTCCAAGCATCTAAAAGTTCATCAAACAGTGCAGAGAAGCTTCATTAATGCTGAATATTTGATAAAGAATTATATCCCCAAAGTCTTCAGTGGACCTGGCTTACAATTCATTCAAATTCCCTGAGCTACTGGCCAGAAATTCACAATCTGGTGATAGCTACCAATTTCTAGTTGTTTATAGAGCATAAGGTGGGTGCAAGGAGCATGGCTCACAGGGGATTACAGGGCACCTGGTTTGAAAATAGATGTCTTCAGTTTGCCAAGAATGGCTACCAAAACACAGGTTCCTGGTAGAAGTGGGACATCTGGTCAACCTTGCTAAGCTTCCACTATCCCCTGAATCCACACCTTCCAGGGAGAGAGGCTGACATACAAAGAAAGGTTTGCTATGTAGAGGAGTAGTTGTTCTCACTTCCAATACCCATCGGTGGGTTAAGAGAGAAGAATGTATAATTCATGAGCAAAAATTTGTGAGAGATAACTATAAATGCTAGGGATGCATTTGACAGCAATTTGCAGACTTCTAATTCTTTCAGACACTGACCTCAGCCTGCTGTTATATTGTTCTCCAAGGATGCTGGCCTGAAGGCTACCTCTGAAGGCTCTAGATGGACTGGTGTGGTGTCTGCCTGGGACCCAAGATCTAGTATCTGCACTTAGTGGCAGATGTTATCTCAGTGTGTTCATCAAGCTGCACCCCGGCTAAAAGGTTCACATTAAGAACTGCAGGAGCTGCAAAGCATAGGTTCACTGCAGGAACTCTGATCAGAATAATGGATGAGTCTGGGGATGCCTACACCAAAGTCCTCACTACCTGGCTGGTCCATTATCTGCAGACACTACCACCATGTCTGGTGTGTCTCAGCACCTCAATAGGTTACATGGGTGAATGAGTAGGTGGCCCTGGCTCATGCACTGGAGCTTATACCTCATTGTGGCTCCAAAGAGTCACAGGGAAAGTGCCCTGAGGACTTGGAGCCCAAACCGGGAACATGTGTTTATCCCTGGTGGAAAACATGAACAAAGGCCCATGAGTCCACACTGTTTGAGGCTAGCTCCCATGGAAGAGACAGCTAAGTTTCCCATCCCTCAGGTAGACAGGAATGGCCTAGGAGGCAGAAAGAAGTGCTGGGGGTGGAGGAGGAATGGCCTGAATGGCTCAGAGAGGGCAACAAATGCCTTCACTCTCTGGCCCCTGAGCAAAGACCTGGGAAACCCTGGGCAGCTGACTCCTAAGAGTATGTGGCTGGTTGCCTGGGCACTGCCCACCCTGTGGCTAAAGTCAGCTCCAGAGGCATTTCAGTGTCCGTCAGAGCCAAATACTGGTTTAAAGCCACAGGTGTGTGTTTTGCCCATCCCCCTTTCAGCCATGGACTGCAGAACCTAGCTAAGGCCCCAGGGATTCAAGAAACTGACTTGGTCTGCTGTGCTGCCCCACCATGCCAGACTGCATTTGTCCTGGAGTCGGGGTGGGGGTGACCTAGTATTGTGCACCTTCTTCTGCATCCAGTGTCCTCCAGGGCACTCTCTGGTCCACATTCCTGATCCTGACAAAGCAACACCCCCACCTAGGCAGGCCCTGATTAATATCTAGTCTATTGAAGTCCCAAGGCCACAGTGGGGACAGAGACCAGCTACTGGCAAGCCTCACTACTAAGGTTGTGGCACAAGGGACCATGACAATATGGGTATCTGTCCCTTACATCCGAATCGAGACTTAGGGACCCTCTCGGGGCTATAAGGAGGTAGTTTAAGGACAAATAAAAGGAGCACAGAGCAAGGAACGAACTTGTAGCTTGCTAGTTACACCAGAAGATTTTGGTGGAGCCAGTGTGTCGGGCCAAAGCTCTGCTGCACGATTTCTACGGGTTTGTGGGAGAATGTGATGGTGAAGTGGTATGGGCTTCCTTCCCCAGCGGCAGGAAGACTAGGGCAGCAAAGCTGTACAGCTGAGAGCCAGCTCCAGTCACACCACCCCTCTCCTGAATGCCGCCGCACGAGATGGTGCTCATGGCCATCTCACTCTGAAGCAGGCTAGGAATGTTGAGACCTCCTGGCAGGAGCCAACAAGTGATCCCTGGCAAACACGTCTTACATAGCGTTGCAGAAAAGGCAAAGCTTGGAAGGGCATGGGCCTGAGCATTCATTCACTCTGCACGCTCGACTGAGTAAGGTGGGAGGGTGGTGTGCAGGCCAGCTTCAACTGCTCGCTGTGGCGGCTTAGACCGAGAAGGGCTGGCTGAGATGGGCTGGACCAAAACAGCCTGGAAACCACAAAAGCTAGGGTGTTGTGTTACAACAGTGTTAACCAGGGTATCTTCAGCAAGCAATGCACTCACTCTTTCCCTGGGAGACTCCCCACAGAAGCTCCTGGTGAAATTCATTTTTCAAACACCAGACAATAAATCCCAATCGTGGTGCTATCTTGGGAGACAGCAAATTCAGTTACCTCCCACCTGGAACTTTACAGCTGCAGAGAATGCTTTACCCAAATGCAGTTTGGAAAATAACAATGTGATGTGCAGCACCCTACCCAGCTCCTGTGCTCCCATAGAAGACCAACACAAGATTTAGTTTCTTCTGAGAGTGGATGGCCTGGTTTTCAGGCTAGACCCTTGGACAGTCACACAGCTGCCTATTGACACGTGTGAGAGGCAGTTGGGAGCAGGCCTGGACCCACTGATCTGATCCATATGGATTCCTGGCTCCCATGAACACAGAGGACTTCCTGTCCCTGCTAGGTGTGGATGGTGTCCCAGGCTGGTAGGACTCTAAACAGAACTGTGGGTCTCAGCTGAGCAGGTCTGTCCCCCGTGGAAGCCAATTGGAATGCCAAAACTGTCTTGGATTCATTCTTTCAGGAATAATCTATAAGTTCTCAGCCTCACCAAGAGCTCAGGTATAACATTCCCACACACTGAAGTAAGTGAGTGTGCGTGTGTGTGTGTGTGTGTGTGTGTGTGTGTGTGTGTAGGGAAGTGAGTGTTAGTCCTGGTCCCAAGAAGCCTTTACAAAGTACGGAACTGACATTCCCAAGCCTACCCTTTCTGAATCAGACTGCGGAGTGAGTTGGGGCTGCTATGCTTCAGATGCAGGCATTGAGGCAAGAAAGCAGCATGAGGGGAATAGGGATGCTATGGGCAGCTGGGCATGAGGTAAGGTCAGCATTCCTCTGCAAAGCAGCCCCCCCTCTCCCTGGATGCCCTCTGACACCTCCCCAGCCAGGGCGGCTTGGAGTCCAGGGGCCCCTCTCCGAGGCGGCTGTCTCCTCCAGCTCACAGACACTAGGAGATCCGGCAGCAGCCATGGACTTTCTCCTCCATCTCCTCCATGGGGGCCTTGAACTTCAAGAGCGGGGGGTCTCCGCTGGTGACCGTGTAATACACGGAGGTCCCGTTGCTGCTGTAGGGGGAAGTTCTGCCTCCAATCAAGGGGGCCTTGCCTTCGCTGCTGCTCTCTCCTGACCTGGCCACACTGCTGCCCAGGTGGGTGCTTAAGAAAGGGTGGCTGAGCAGCTTGGCTGCAGCCCGCTGCCTCTTCAGCTCCAGGAGCGTTTGGGGGCTCTGCTCCTTGAAGCCACTCCAGGGTGGGGGGACATCAGCCACACTGGGGTTGCCATAGGCCATGCTGTAATCAGGCATCTCGTGCATCTTCCATATGTCCCCGTTGGCCAGTGCATACTGGTAGGTGCTGACAGGAGCCCGGAGGCCATTCTCCACAGGCCCATCCAGTTCTCCCCGAGAGATCTTGGTAGAGAATTCTGAGAGCAACACTGGCTTCTCCAGCCTGGGGTTCTGGAGGGAGGGAGAACAGCATCAGTACCACCCTAGAGTATCTGCACCCACCAGTCACCTGCATCTCCGCTAAGAGACCTATCCTCTATCCGTTTCTCCACCTCCATGCAGCTTTGGGGCATCTGGGCCCGTGTTCTGGTAGGGAAGACCAAAGCCCACCCCAACCCCAGGGCGTTGAGAATGATTTGAGCTGTCGGGGGCTGGCTCAAGAGGTTTCAGAGGACAAGAATTTTAGTATGTTGCCTAGAGGTTGTTTTGTGATATTTTGGTGAAGAATGCGGCTGCCTTTTGCCCTTGTCTGAAAAGTCTGCCTGAGGCGAAAGTGAAAAGTTTTGGATTAATTCTATTAGCAGAGGATTAATTGTACGCAGAGGCTAATATAGACTCTGGTGTGTGGCTTTTAGTGGTAACTCTAATGAACATTTATGATGAAAAGGAGTAAGCTGAGCAAGGTAAACTACAAAATATAAAATCTGAGGAGAAAAGATGCACCGGGAAGTAGAATGGAGCTAAATCCTGTGTTCAAGGAGAGAACAGATTAAGAAATAGAATAAAGGAAGTGGTGACCTCAGGGCAAGATCCCACCCATCTAAGTTTCCAACTTGTGAAAAGGAATGAAAGAAAAGCTTAGATCCAGGTGTGGTGGTACACACCTTAACCCCAGTACTAGGATGGCAGAGGCTGGCAGATCTCTGAGTTTGAAGTCAGCTTGGCATACGAGCAAGTTCCAGAATAGCCAAGCTTATGCAGTGAAGGAATCCATCAAAAACAGAAAGTTGGTGAAGATGTAACTGAACGAGGGGGCCATGTTCCAGCCACAATAAGCAGCAGACCTTGGCAGCTTCAGCCACGCGGTTCTGGAGGTAAGGATAAAAGAAAGGGGCTATGGAATTTGCCTCTGAGGCCAAGTATGTCAGGGGTGTTCCTGAAAAGAGACCTAGAGAGGCCATTGCGTGAAGCTGTGAAGGGGAAATCTGGATTGCCTTGGAGACCCCAAAATGTTTGAGATGCCAGAGCAGATGCAGAGGACACCTGCTAACAGGGAGTATAACCAGTCCAAGAGAAAGAAGTGTGTTGTAGTCAGCAAAGCTAACAGGAGTTGGAGATGTGAAAAGCATTTCAGCATTAGACACGGAGATGCAGAGTCTAGAGTTTGCCCAGCTGGTTTTCAGTCTTTCTTTGGTCCAGTATTTTATCACTATACTTCCTTCCCTACATTTGGAATGATAATGTATATCCTGTGCTATTATATGTTGGAAATATATAATCTGCTTTTTAAAATTTTGACTTTGCAGGGAATTATAGTTAAGAGATTGCATGAATTTCAGAAGAGACTTTGAGCTTTAGACTTTTAAGTTTGAGACTGTTATAAACTATGGGGACTTTTGAAGTTTGACTGAATGCATTTTTGCATTATTATATGGCCACAAACCTTTGGGGGCTAGGGAGTGGAATGTGGTAGTTTGAAAGAAAATGTCCCCCAAAGGGAGTGGCACTATTAGGAAGTGTGGCCTTCTTGGAGTGGGTATGCCCTCATAGGAGGAAGTGTGTTATTTATTTATTTATTTAGGTTTTTTTTTTAGGAGACAGGGTTTCTCTGTATTGTTTTGGAGGCTGTCGGTCCAGCCTGGCCTTGAACTCACAGCGATCCGCCTGCCTCTGCCTCCCGAGTGCTGGGATTAAAGGCGTGCGCCATCACCGCCTGGCCGAGGAAGTGTGTTATTATGGAGGTGGCTCTGAGGTCTCATATTCTCAAGCCACACCCAGTGTCTTAGTTTACTTCCTGTTGCCTACAAGGTGTAGGATCTCAGCTCCTTCTCCAGCACTATGTTGGCCTGCACACTGCCATGTCCCACCATAATGATAATGGACTAAACCTCTGAAACTGCAAACCATCCAATTAAATACTTTCCTTTATAAGAGTTGCCATGCTCATGGTGTCTCTTCACAGCAATATAAACCCTACGTAAGACAATGACTTTCTGAAAAAGGCAAAATTCTGGAAATATAAGATCATTAACAACTCACGCACACAAATAGATAGAAAGTTCAATTGCATTACCATTTTGTATTTGTGTGCTGTCACAATGTGCTCAGGTGGGACACTGGGGGTCTTCTGGGACAGTGAAAGTATGATGCATGATACTGTAACAGTGAAATCCACAGATGGTGTAACACAGAGTCACGTCTGGTGTGATGTGTGCCTCAGCACTGGCTCACCAGTAACAGCACACACAGTACACAAGTACAAAATGGTAATGAAATAGAACCTGAGGGCAGTTTTTTGTGGGTGTGTGTGCACATGCATGCTTGGTATGATTGAGAACAGAGGTCTCTCCCTGGACCTGGAGCTCACCAATTCAGCTAGACTGATTGACCAGAATAGCTCAAGGGTCCTCCTGTCTCCATCTCCCAGGCAATAGGATTACAGGTGTGTATATCCAGTCCAACTTTTGTTTTTCAAGACAGGGTCTCACCATGTTGCTCTGGCTATCCTGGATAGACCAGGCTAGCCTTGAACTCACAAAAATCTCCCTCTCTGCCTCTGACCCTGCCCTTGCCCCTGCCCCTGCCTTTGCCTCCTGAGTGCTGGGACCAAGGGCATGAACCACCATGCCTGGTTGGCTTTTTTTTTTTATTCAATGTTTGTGCTGGAGACTCACACTCATGGCCTCATCATGCAAACACTTTACCAGCTGAGCCATCTCCCCAACGACTCCACTTATTTTTCTATAAATGTAAAACTGCTTCAAATCTCAAGGTCTATTACTGAGAGAGAGAGAAAGTACATATTCAATGTCTGAGTCCAGTGATTCTCTTTGTAACAGTTGTTAAACTAAGATAAGGGCTCTTTCCCTGCTACTGTTGCAGAAACAGATGCTTTGTGAATTCAAGATTCAGCTTCACCCCTACCCCATCACCAGGGCCACGGAAGATGTTCCTGGTTGGAACTATAATAAATGTCAATACTAGGGATGCTTAAGACCGCTTTTAAGACCGCTTTCATCCACAATGGCTCAACCTGTGAAATTCAAGAAGCTGCCAAAGACTTGGACAAGCGCCCAGTCCATCTTTGTGGCTTACACCCATCTGTGATGAACTTACATATGTAAGCATGGAGAAGTCCTAGTGCTGAGCACCAAATCAACTTAATTACTGTTGGTGACAAGAAGAAAGTAAAAGAATGGGCAAGCCTGTGCAAAACTGATCCAGATGGGAAGCCCTGTGAAGTGGCTAGCTGTAGTTACACAGTTACGTTGTGGTTAGAGACTATGGAACAGAATCAGAGCAAAAAGATCACTAAAGAGGACTTCAAAGGCAAGCAATGAACAAATAAAATTATTTGGCTCAAAAATAACTATGTGATTATATTAGATTGGCATGGGCCCTCGTTTGCTGACTAGGGCCCTTGTAAGAAAACAGAGGGGCCAGGAAAATGACTTGGTTGGTAACGTGCCTGCCACATAAGTGATAAGACCTGAGTGTGGACTCCCAGATTCCACTCAAAAAGCCCAGTGTGGTCATTCGTGTCTGCAACCAGAAGCTGCGAGGAGGCCTTGGCACAGATCTCCCCTTTAGAAGCACCAAAAGGAACCAACCCTGTCAACATCTTCATCTTAGACTTCTAGACTTCAGAGCCCTGAGTGTCTACCATTTTAAGCCCCTATCGTGACCTCTGATACCACAGCTGAGGAAGACCACACACCATCTTCCGAGAGTGCCTAGAATCCAGAGCCTGCTGCAGGAGCCCCTTCTCATAGCGTGTCCCAGAGCCCTAGTACATTTTTCAGAATACCCCTTTCAAATATGGCATCTTGAGAAACACCATTCTCAAATCTTGTGTCCCGATGAAAGAAGATGTTAGCCCTTATCTCCTAGGGTAACTGTCATGCTGAGCCTCTCTTCTGGGGGATTCAGGACCAGATCTATCGGGGGACAAGCAAGCCTATGGCATTCACTCTGTCCCTGCCGATTATGAGCCCCTTTCTGATGAATACACCCAAGGGTCACCTCCTGAACAGTATTAACCACCACCATCATCAGGAGCCAATAGTTGAAGGGTACCACTCAGCTATTTCCCCCTTCTGATGGCTCTCAGACGAGGAGGTAGGCAGGACCAGGCTGGGCCTAATCCTCTTCACAAGGCAGAGGCCCACACCGAAGGAAGGCATGAGGTCCCTCACCGGGTCCTTGTTCTCTTGGTCTGTCCTGGTCTCCCTGATGTCTCCGTTGTAGGTGGAGGTACGCTGGTCCTCTGCTGCACTCCGCTGCTGCCACAAGATGGCCTCTCCTTCATACTCTTTCCGATACAGGTTGGTTCTGTCTGACAGGCTGGCTCTACGCACCACCTTCCTGAGGGGGACAGAGGAGGTGCTGGAAAGCTGTGCCCAGGAGCCACGTGTTGGCATGTGCAAGGGCCCCTGGTTGCCCTTACCACTCACCCACGGCTGCCTGCACTGGATGTCCTCCGGCTCAGGGATGACTTGTGCCTCAGCTGGGACTTCATGATCACATCATGCTTGTGTTTAAGCTCCAACAGCAGGACCTTGAACTCCTCCTCCTCACACAAGTCTGAAGGAGTACACGAGTCAGTTGCAGAAGGCAACGTAGGGACTCCATACCACAGGAGCCACCATGTGAACCCACCGGAAGCTCTAAGAACCTTCTGGGGGCACAGAGGGAGGGGAGAAGCAACCCCTGCTTATTTCCTTAGAGGAATATGGGAATGGGAGACCTGGGCCTCTGAAATCCTGAAGTTCTCAGTTAAGACTGAGGAACTCATACCATGCTGGTAGGCTTTGTCAACTTGACACAATTAAGGGATGGCCTCCATCAGACTGCTCTGTGAGCAAGTCTAGGGCATCTTCTTGACGAATGATTGATCTAGGAGGGCCAGCCCACTATGGGTCGTGCCACCCCTGGGCAGGTGAGCCGGAGTTGTATAACAAAGCAGGGGGAGCAAGCCACAAGAGCAAGCCAGCAAGCAGCATTCCTCCATGGCCTCTCCTTCAGTTCCTGCTTTGAGTTTCCTCAATGACAGACTATGATGTAGAAGTGTAAGCCAAATAAGCACATTCCTTCCCACGTTGCTTTTGGTCACTGTTTTATCACAGCAACAGAAAAGCAAACTGGAACACATACCCTCTCAAGTCTCCCTGATGTGAGCATTGAGAGAAACAAGCAGATCCCCCAAGCAAGAAATGAAGCAGTGATGCTAAGAAATCCCTCTAACCCCACCAGCCAATCTATTGAGTCTCTCTATCAATCTGTCCATCTACTAGATAATCTGGTCATCTGTCCACAGTTCATCCTCAGCCCAACATCTACTTATCTATCCATCCATCATTACATCCAACACCACATTACCTGTCTACCCACTCATCCATCGACCTATTCATCCTTTATCCATCTGTCTATTTATCTATCTTGCATCTATCTACCTTCAGTATGCAGCCATATGTCCAACCATACATCTACTCACCATCACAAAGCATGGTAAGTATGTACATACAAAGTATTCAGCTGTCTTACCTATTGGCATCTCATCCATGGATGTCCTGGCACTGAGACTAGCTCCATGCGACACTAACAGCTCTGCCATTGGCATCTGCAACACAGAAAGAAGTTCATGTTCCCCATACCCAGGTCTCAAGAAGCCTAGGCCGGGGAGAGTACCCAAGACCTCAGTGCACAGTGGAGGAAAGTTGACTCCAAGGGAAGGCCCTGTATGCTGAAGCCATGAGAGAGTCCTGTCAAATGTGATGGGCTTGGCACCTCCTCCCAGCATGCCTGAGTTACTACGAGGAGGGGAAGCAGAAGGAGGAGAAACCAGTTGTGATTCCACAGCTGTCCGGTGTCTATGGGTGACTGCACAGGCTGCAGTCACACTTAGGAAACCCCAGTCTAGAGAACCCACGCAATGCGGAAATAAAGGGGATTTTCTACGAGTTTCGTCCTGTTAGGACATTTAGGCCCAGGCGCTCGCGGCCTCCCCGAGCCTCGCCATCTCTCACACACTCACTATGGCCAGTGCCTAAGGGGTCCTTGTTCTCTTGCACCAGTCGCCAGCCCAAAGGACCTGGGGTCAGCAGTTTTACCTTGTGTCTGACTACTCCACAGGGGTAGGAAGTACCTGTCCCCAGAAGGCTGCTGCATGCAGAGGCTCCCAGCCATCCCAATCCTTCACATCCACACGCACTCCGTGGTCCAGGAGGAGTTCAGCTGCCCGCAGGTACCCATGGGCTCCAGCTATGTGTAGCTGCAGGAGAGGAAAGAAGTGAACATTCCTAAGGGAGGTGGCTCCACGTTTGGAGGCAGGGTGACCTTTCTCACCCCAAGCCTCAGAGCATCCTTGGGGCCAGGGAACGGAACAGAATGAGGTGACCATAGCAGCCAGGAAGGCTGCAGGGTGTAACTAAGTGTGAAATGGAAAACTACAATGGAGGGTAGAGAGATGAGCTCTTCACCTGAGCCCCAGAGACGGGGTCTCAGAGGTTCAATATGGTAATCTGAAAAGAATACCTAGCTACTCGTTGACATACCTCTTTTTATTTAAATGCAGAATCTGATTTCTCTGCCTTTGAATGCAGACCACATTGAGTGGTATACGTCTAACCACAAGGATATTTCAAAGTGGCAGTTTATGATTTATGAAGTTGGGGCAGGAGAGGCATTGCTGCTTTTACCTTATGCTCTCTTGGATTCATCTGGAAGGAGGTGGCCAACTCATGGAGCCCTGCCTGAGGAGGAGTTGTAAGAAGGCAAGAGACTGTGGCCTTCTGCCAACTGCCAGCACTAACGTCAGCCATGTGAGGGAACCACATGAAGGAGACCAACTTCAGATGTGACTGTAGCCCCAGTCAGCCTCATGGGAAATGCCAAGTCAGAGTCACCCAGCTGAGCAATTCCTAATTCTCTGATGCGTAGAAACGCTGTGTTTACTATATAGATGCTACCCTGTAGAGTTCATTGTTACACAGCTATAGGTAATTGGCACCTGTAACAGGAAGACTCACGCTGTGTATGTTGAGGTCCCAACTAGTTTGTTTGTTTGTTTATCTAGTTAGTTAGCAATGAGAAAAGGTCTCATTCTGTAGCCCAAGATAGCCTCAACTTGTAACAGTCCTCCTGCCTCAGCTTCACAAGCACTGGGACTACGGGCCCGAGCCACCACTGAGGCACCCCTCAAGGCTGCCTGGCATGGCTGCCCCCAAGCAGACCTCAGTTGCTCCACTTGTCAGCCACCCAGAAAAGAAAGTGCTTAGCACTGGGTGAAGAGCATGATGGCAAGGTAGGCCATGAGAATGAGTGAAGGGGAGAAGGAAGTGAGACGAAGAGAAACTGCTGTTCAGCCACAGACAGGACACAAGTGACAGTCTCTAGAGCAGGCTGAAGACTGACTGGGAACGATGCAGAGGATGGAGAGGGTTTGGGATCTGTGATGGAAGTCATTGGGACAGATAAGTCACAGCTCAGGTTTGGATGAGGCCCTTATGGTCACGTTTCCTCCGTGAGGAGGTTGCTCTGAGCTTCTGATAAGGGCAGGTTTTCTTTTCATTTTTACTTTTTCAGGATAAATCTAGGGTAAGATGCGATTAAGTAGTACATGCAGATCGGTATAATTATCTGATTTATACATCTGGTGCTTGCTGGTTGCGGAGAATGAAACCTTGCTGGCCAGCCAGATACCTCAAAGCACAGGGTCACAGTAGGTACTTTCCCAGGGAATAAAAGCATGATTCATATAGGGAGATTGCTAGTGAGGAGGAGGGCTGGCAGAGCCAGCATGGTGGCACTTGCCTGGTGTTGCATCACTTGGAAGGTAGAGGAAAGAGGACCGTAGACTCAATGTCAGCTTGAGTTGTATAGCAAGAGCCTATCTCAAAAATACATAAGTCCTGGGGATAGATCGCAGAATTATAGCATTTGCCTATCATACAGGAAGAGATAGGACTGTGCTCAACATTTGCTGTGTCATTCGGTCCTGCCGGCTCCCCTGGGAGTTAAGACACCATCACCTCTAGTTTACTAGGAAGACTCAGTATGTGACTATCCCAGGTGGCTGGGGTTACCATAAAGCCATCAGCATTCAGTATCACTACCTGACCCCATTCTTCAGTATTGAGCTGAGCAGGAGATCTGAGCAAGTGGATATGAAGCAGAGGTCAGAATTCAGAGCTCAGGGGTAAATGAGAGAAGCCCCATCAACAAATCTGAGGCCTGAGGTCAGCTCTAAGAGCCTAATAGTACTGAGCCCTGTCTGCTGGACAGCCCCTGTGTCCCTGGATGCCCATGACCTACAAGGAGCCTAAACCTAGGAGGTTGAGGTCAAGTGCCCAGACCTCCAAGTGGGGACTTCCACAGCCATGTTTCAGTTTTCAGCTTAGAGACTGCAGAAGCAGAACCTCCCCCAGTGCTAAGCTTCTGTTGTTGAGGACCTGGAGGAGGGGCCAAGGTGTCCTCTCAAGATGCTAACAGTGACAGCTGAGTTACAAAGATCAGTGGAGGTAAACTGGTGACTCTGAGAAAGGAAGGAAGGCTCCATCATTTGATCTCTCCAAGGACAAGTAGAGCATGTAGCACGGGGTGGTCCATATAACTATGTGTCGCCTGGATGGATTGACGGATGGATAGATGGGCAGAGAGATGCACAGATGGACGGATGGCAGATGGATAGATTGATGGACAGATGGGCATATGGGTGGAGTGATAGATAACATATGTTACAGTGGCCTCAGGGAAAGCTAAATGAGAAGGCCATGGCTTTCAAGGGCACAGTAGGCAGGGACCGGATGACACAAAGCAAGACTGTGTGGGTGAGTGGGCAAATGGCAGTCCTTGAGGAGTGTAGGTAATGCCGTGGAGACAAAGCACATGGACATCAGAGCCCAGTCCTGGAAATCCCGACTCCCAGCTGAGAATGCCCAGGGTTAGAAAGAGGCTGGACCCCAGCCTTAACTGGCCGTATTCCAGGAGCAGCAGGGCGTCTAGAGGAGGCCCAAGGTCACAAGTGTATAGGTTTTCACCCTACCAGGAACCAGACCCAACTCATCCCAAGTTGGTCTTGGTTCTGGCACTTGCCCCTAACCCACACCAGCCCGACCCAACTCCTCACCAGTGTGGCTCCTTGGGCATCTATCCAGTCAAGATCCTGGCCCGCCGCAATCATGCAGTGGATGTCCGAAATCATCTTCTGCTCGGGGGCTGCCCGCATCTCATTGATTTTCTCCTGGGTGATGCCTGCAGGGAGGTGATAGGTTACTCAACAGCATCAGGTCTGGGTACCAAGCAGACAGGGAAGGCACGGCTCCTACTCCCCAAAGTCTGCCAATCACCCAGTGCACAGGTCTGCCAAAGATCATTGCTCCCAGGCCTGCTGAACACCGACACCATGGGTTCCCTCACAGGACAAGGGCCATTCCTTCCTGGCACCTAGTAGGCTTCTTATGAACATCACTCACTTCTGGAACATTGTCCCACCTGCTAGATTGGAGCACCTGCCCGCTCACCTCCAGTTGCCCCACTTGCTACTCTGCCTCATCCTTTCGGTGCTGACCTAATCACCTCCGCAGCTAGTGCCACTGGCCACTCCTTCTGCCCAGGGTCTGTTGGTTTCCTTTCTCTCATATGCCACTGCTTTCAGCACCATAGGCAATAGTTCAGACATTTTTTGTTGTAAGAACGGATAAATCAGTGAATATATTACTTTCAAATGGACAGTTAAGTAAGGGATGGAAGGGCCCAGAAGGACTTTTGCTTTTTATTTTCTGTAGTGCAGACTGGCCTCAGACGAGTGACAATGCTCCTGCCTCAGCCTCCTATTTGCTAGGATGACAAGCACGAGCCATTCCAGTTCCATAGAGACATGTTATAGCCCAAATCTCTGGCTAACAAAAGTGTGCCTGTCACTGGTAGCTGCTGACTTAAGGAGAGAACATAATGTCCCATAAATAAAAAAAGAAACAAAAAACCATGGTATCCAGGTTCCTTGGGCAGAATTCAGAGCAAGCTAGAGACTCAAAGGGGGAAAACAAAGTTACATGTTTATTCTGACTAGTGTCCACAGAAGAAAAATTAGCAGTGCCTGTACGTCAATGGCCAACAGAAACAATATCTAATCATTGAAAGAATTAATGGCTTCTCTGTAGCACATTTTAAAATACTGTGGTTGCCATGTTGAAAAATGACCCAGCTGACTTCCTTCATACTCCAGCAGCTTTGTAAGTCCATTGGGGGAGTCTATAGTTTTACCGTGTTGGCACAAAAGTTATTATAAACTTTCTACAGGATTTAGTGGGGAAAATGCAGGTACCAGGGAGTATGGAAGCCAAGTCAACAGCGGCCACAGAGATCTGGGGAGGGGCAAGGTGGGGATCTGGCAGGACCTTGGGCCACAGCTGCAGGTCTGGGTTTAAGATCCTTTTTTACTAGAGACTGCTTTGCAGGCATGCATTTGGGAGCTGGGATGGCAGGTGTCTCCCGCTGTTCCACGTGCCTCCCTCTGAAGCTCACCGCGAGCTGAGAACAGCACACGTCTTGTTTATCTGGGCCCCTGGCAGCCAGTTTAGTGCCTGGCACCGAGCAGCACCCGCAAATGTTCTTGACTTTTTACCATGTTCCCAAACGGGGACGCATCTTTATGGTGAGTGTTGGCTGAACTGAATTGTCACAGCTGACAAATCGAAGAGGAGGCCAGCTGAGGCTGCCTGCATGTGTGGGTGACAGGGAGAACAATATCTCCCTCTACGCGGCATGTGTTCCAAGGTCCTTTCATGTCCCTATCTGTTAATCATACAGATGAAAATAATAACAAGAACCTGCCCCAGTTATTGGGAGCTAAGCACGAGGCTGGCGGGTACGTAGCACTGCTCCCATCCACTGAAACCGTGTTCACTACAGTACCTCACTGTGCCCATGGTATAACATACTGCTCCCCCTTGCCTTGGTATGCCATGCAGGTCTCAATGACATCCAGGGTGGGTTCATCCTCGCAGAGGTCATATGGCATGTTCCCATCAGAGTTGACAGCAAGCAAGTCAGCCCCACTGCAGAGAAAGGGCCAGAGTGAGAGCCAAGAAGGTGTGCCTGGGTTAGCCTGGTGGTCTCCATCATCGGGCTTCCCATCCACAGCTAAGTGCTAAACAATATGTACAGTCATTTCTCTCTGCCCTTGACTGTGTGACTATCTGCTTCAAGTTATTCAAGTTCATTTCCCCACAACGAAGGACTGAAACCCAGAGCTGTAAGCCACTGAATAAATCCTTTCTCCGCTATGTTGTGCTCTGTCAGTATTTATCACAACAGCAGAGACTAGAGCAGCATCCACGTGTGGCTGTAGGCACTCTATGGCAGAAAGACCTGGGAAACCACTGAGACAAAACACAGCTCCATGGCCAGAGCCCAGGGGGCCTGGGAACGTGCATTTTGCTTCAGGTGATTGCAATACAGGCCAGCAGGAAAGTACATGAAGCCAGGCTGGCACCTCTTCCCCTGACCTCAGGGCCCTCCTGGGAGGCACCTAATGGGTCTCTGATGCTCTGCCAAGGCCTGTGTGAGTGGTCGCCTGCTCTCCATCCCCCTCCTGACTCCCTGCACTAAGATGCTGTGAGTCTCCAGGACTCTACACACTAGTCTTGCTTTCCTGCCCCATGTACCCAGGGCCTGGCATAGGACCTGTTGGTCAGCATGTAAAATAGAAGGGGAACTGGGAAAGCAGTAGATAAATCCCTTTAAAAAAATAAAAATAGCTATCGTATACCCCAGAAATTCCACATCTGGGTACATTTTCAAATCAATGGGAAGCCGGGTCCTGAAGAGAGATCTGCGCATACATGTTAGGGCGAAAGGGTAGAAGCACCCAGCACCCATCAATGAGCAAGTGGATAAACAGTCTTGTCTCTGCACTCATTGCAACATGGATGAACCTTGAGGACACCATGCCAAGCGAAATAAGCCAGTCATGAAAGGATAAACGTGTTTCCACTAAATGAGCAGCTGCAGCAGAGAGGCAGAGAGAGCGGCAGTCATGGTGGAGGGGATGCAGACGGGGTGGAGCTGGGAGAAGTCATGGTCACATGGCTGTGGCCTGTGCAAGATGAAGTAAGCTGGAGACTGTGTGGTGATACATGGTGGATACATTAAACAGCATGGACTGCACACTTAAAAATGGCAAAATGTGTAAATTGTATCAGATTTTGACACAAAAACTACAAACTGAGTAAAAACTGAAAGAGAAAGAAACAGAGTAGAAAAGATCAAGAAATCAGAAGTGATGGTGAGAAAGAGACGGAAATGTACACACAGAGAGAAAGGGCATTAGGGGAAGAAGACAGAAAGAAGGGGATTGATGGGGGGGGAGAAGGGGAACGGAAGAGCGGGAAGAATGGAACGCACATGGGAAAGGCCAGCCACGGACGGGGAGGGCAGGCTGCCCTGGGGAGGAACGGGCACGTACTACTGGACGAGGATCTTCACCAGGTTGATGTGGCCGCAGGTAGCTGCAGCGTGCAGGGGTGTCCACAGCTCATTGTCCTTGGCGTTCACATTGGCACCGTGGGAAAGCAACAGCTTGACGATTTCTTCAAAGTTGTCAATGCAGCACTGGAAGGGAACACAGAGGCGGTAGAGGGAGGCCAGGCATAGCCCAGAACCCTGGTGGGGACGCACTATACCCCCCACAAGAGACCATGAGAAGGGTGGTGGAGACAGACAGACCGAGTTCGAATCCAGATCTATAACTTTGGGCAAGGCATCTTACCTCTCAGAGTCAGTCTCCTGGTTTTGTAAAAAAGAAGTTGAAAACAGTCTGGGCAAACAGCCCCAATCTGCTATATTTTAAAGTGTTAGTGGAGCTGCATTCAATCTCAATGGGCTTTTAAAATCCCAGCCGGCTTTCTCCAGCAGGCAGCATCCTAAGAGGAACTGTTAAATCACCTCCAGCTCAAGCAGGTATGTTTGGGGACCCAGTCCCACACCCTCCTTTGGGGTAGTGGCCTCTAAAGAATCACCTTGCATTGCTGTTTGAAACTTTTAAGGGTCTCTGACCTGGGAATGCAAATCTTGCAAAGGTTACCGAGTGACTAAGATTCTTCCGAGCAGGTCCTGTGGACCCTGGCACAGTCACTTCCAGGAGACAGCCTGTCTGTGCTCCCACCGGGATAGAGTTGTGGGCATAGGTGAGTGAGCACAAGCAAGGTGGGAGGGCCCAAGTCTGCAGCCCCCCCAGGAGAACAAGCAAGGTGGGAGGGCCCAAGTCTGCAGCCCCCCAGGAGAACACAGGTCCCAGGACAGGGAGTGAAAGACTTCCCGAGGGACATAGCCTCGCCCAGGGAGAACAGAGGTGGGGACAGAGGATGGTGTCAGTGGCCGCTCGGCGGTGTATCAGGGGACATGAGATCACCCCTCCTGTTCAAACAAGCCAGGTTTGGTCTTCAGAGCAACAGGAGACAGGGGTGAACTGTACTCATAAAAGTAGCACAACCTGACTTGTTTATTAAAAATAAAACCAAAAAACATTTCACTCTGCTAGTTCCATGTGGAGGACAGTTGTGTGTGTGTGTGTGTGTGTGTGTCCATGTGTGTATATTTATGTCTCTGTGTGTGTTGTGTGTGTGTGTGTGTGCGCACACCCTGAGAGGGACAGAGAGAAGCTATGTTTTTAAGTCATCTAGTTTACGGATGGTGGTGCCCTGGCCCACGTAAGTAACTATACATATATAGGAAGGAGAGCATGGAGGCCAGCAGAAGGATCGGAGACACCTGTGTGAGCCCATGACACCAGATGGCTGTGGAGTGGGACACCACCACAGTCTCCAGCATATCTCCAGCCAGCCAGCACCAGAAGAACACTCAGGAAAGGAGCAGCCATGTGCACAGATGGTGCCAGAGAGCCAGTTCTTTCTGCCAGCTGGTCCAGCATGGCTGGGTCTCAAGGCACCTTTCTGGACAGACAGAGAAAGAAAGACACAGCTCATTGGGGCTGTACTGTCTTAGGAAGGCAGGAGAACCATGCAGTGGCATAACACAGCCAGTAGAGGGAGACACGGGCACTGGAGCCAGGCATGGGTAGACCAGAAGAAAGACCTGTGGGCAGCCTCCTGTAGTAAGAAGACAGGAGGACCAGGGGGCTACAAGCCCAGAGCTGTAGAGTCTTGTGAGTGTGATCCCAGGACTGGCATAGGGATGCACATGTCTTGTGGTATGTGGGGGGGGGGGGAGAGGAGCAAGCCCTGTAATCGCTATGGAACCACGGAGAGAAATGGCACCTTCAGTAGACTGACTCCTCCTGCTTCCTCTCTTCTAATAGAGTCAGCTGAGTGCTTGTCCCCTAAGTGTCTGTCTCCATCCCTGCTGCCCAGGGTGCACTGCATCAACTCTACCTCCAGATGCCCTCTGCTATACTGTGACATCTGCAAACCTCAGAAGGTTCCACATGACCAAGAGAAGCAGACCTGTGCTCCTTGGCTAGCCTTGGGAGACTCTGCAGGGGCCCCAGTCTTACATGTTGTATGCAACAATACCCAGCTGGGCAATCCAAACATGTCACTTCATTGTCAGCAGTAATAGCTGTTGCTTCCGGAAGACCTATGAGAGCCGGTCACTAGAATTCGCTTTGGCCATTCACTGCAGCATTTAATCCTCACAACGGGCCTGGGAGGTCCTCTCCTCCCCTCTGGCACACAGAAACACAAAGCCATACACATAATAAGAAATAGACTCACTCAAGATTACAATCCAGCAGTATCCAACTTTCTCAGTACTAGGAAGGTAAGGCAGAAGGATCATTAGTTCAAGACTAGCCTCGGCTGCATAGTGAGAGCCTACAAAAATTAAACAAACAAAGCATAAGGTACCCACACAATGACACAATCAATGACAGGGCTGGGTTAAAAGTGAAACAGTCCGTCTCCAAAGGTCCTGTTCTCACCCTGGCCAGTCCTGTCTCCCACACAATGACACAATCAATGACAGGGCTGGGTTAAAAGTGAAACAGTCCGTCTCCAAAGGTCCTGTTCTCACCCTGGCCAGTCCTGCCTCCCACTCTGCCTTCTAGGTACTCCCTCCAGCTCAAACTTGAAAGGCTGGGTTAGTCCTCATGCCGCCGGGGCTGCTCCCTCTGCTCTAACGTTGTTCCTTTTCTTTCTGGAAAACTCTTTCTCATACTCACACAAACTCTTCCTTCGAGTCCCAGCTCAGGTGTCCTTCCCCTTCAGAGCCTGTCCCAGTTTCCCTTTGAGGCAAGCCACCGGGTCCCAGCTGTGAGCTGTCCAGAGACCCCTGCTCCCCCACGTCACCTCAGCTGCTTATTTCTATGCCTGTGGTCACATCACACCACACAGTCTGTGAGCACAGACACTTCCTAATCCCCTGTCCCTAGCAGAGCGTCTGACATAAGAGAAGGTGAGCAAAAAGGGATTGCTGAATGAGTGAGAATGGGAGTCTGTGGGCCAGTGGGGGCGACACCTCCTAAGGACCCTCCTAAGATGGAGCCCAAGGTAGGTGTGGGACTGGTAGTAGTCAGGGGTGAGTTCTGCACAACTAGGCTCAGGCCCTGCAGAGTTTTCCCCTCCTTATGTTTCAGAGGCCCAGTGGCCCCCAGGAGAAACTAGACCTGAGGAAGTCATGTGATCAACAGGAAGACGGAGGAGGTGGTGAGAAATGGAAGGAACCCCAAGCTCAGACCCACAAAAAAGTTCACAAGGCAAGAATAGCACCTAGAGGGACCCTGCTCCTGGGACTCTGCTAAACACTGTATCCAGGCAGTCAAGGCTACTGATGCTAACCCTAGCTCAGCCATGGTTCCCATTTGACTTAGATCCCAGAGATTTCACATATAACATAGACAATCTGTATTTAAATTCACTAAAATTAAATAAGAGTTAGAATCCAGTTCTTGTCTCATCAGCCACACAACTCTATGGCTACTTAACTGGCCCACACAGACACATGAAATAGTTATTCCCACCACTGTGGAAAATTCTACAGAGTAGAGCTGCCTAGAGGCTCCATTTCTTGAAACGTAAAATGGGAATAACAACGTTTTAGAGGGTCACTATGAGGATCAAAATGAGGTATACTACTGAAGTGCTTTTGAAGTAGCCACATGATAAACTGTAATTATAACTCAAGTCTTTTAGATTATTTAAAATCTTTAATTAACGTGTATGTAGGTATATTATATGCAGGTGGTAAGGAAGACCAGCAGAGGGCGACAGAGCTCCTGGAGCTGGAGTTACAGGTGGTTGTTCAGTCTGACACAGAAGCTAGGAACTGAACACTGGTCCTCTGCAAGAGTAGCATGTGCTCTTAGCCACAGAGCCTTCTCTCTGATGTAATTGGAGATTGTCCTGTCCCACTGGACATGCCACCTATAAGTCCTATGGCTGCTTAATGAAACCACTCAGAGACTTTATATATATAATTGTTTAGCCAATGGCTTCGACTTCTTATTAGCTAGTTCTCTCTTAATTATTAATCCATAGCTATTAATCTGTGTATCTCCACGTGCCCTTATCTTACTGGAGAATGCCTGGGCATCCCACCTTCCTGGTAGCTACATGCTATCTGTCCTTTGTCTTTCTTTTCCCTGCCCTTTGTTTGTCTATTGGCCAAAACCAGCTTTATTCATTAACCAGTAGAAGCAACATATATTCACAGCATACAGAAGGATCTCCCACATTACCCCAGCCTGATAACTGCATAATCTGTGGTGAGTGTTGCTCAAAAAGCTTTTCACAGGTGACCATTTCATCCTCTCTACAACCCAAGGATATGGATACTGTTTCCCCTTCACAGGTGAGGAAACTGAGGCACAGAGAGCTTAAGGAACTTGTCCAAGGCCACATGCATGTGAGTGACAGTTCCATGCCTCAGTCTGACTCTATCCTGATGACCATCCTATCGTTGCGCCCCTGGCTAATACTGCCTATCCTCAGAGGTTGCCTTCTAGGTCTAGGTCTAGGTCTAGGAGGAAGTCTGTATGCCGCCATTAAACATGTGACTTATTAGAGGCGCATACAGATGAGGTAATAAAAGGGCGGTTTACCACACCACTAACCACACCCACTTTAGGCAGGACTAAAGACGTATACGGCTGGACGTAAAGACGTATACGTACGTAGGCGGAACTATGTCACTAGCCAGGCCCACTTTTGGGCATGGCTAGGGGGCGTTACGGGGGAAGGTATAAAAGACAGCACACAGGAAGTCTCGGTCTCTTTTCCCGGAGTTCGGCTTCCAGTTCGGCAGCGGAAAACTGCTTGGCTCATCTGGGTTACTTGTTTGGTGTCTTGTGAGTAATTTCTACAATAAATACTTAGTTTTACTTTCAGTAATTGTGTGTCGCTTATCGTTACAGCGTCCTTTGGAGCCTACATGGACAGGGGATCTCACCTCAGGAGCATCCTCAGAACTCCAGAGTGAATGAAGCTGGAGTCTGGATGATTTCCCATGAGCAAGAGCCATGAGATTACTGAGATGGCGGCCTAAGTGTGGGTGCCTGAGGCCCTGGAGTAAGGGCGAAGAGTACATGAAGAGAGCCCTCAGGCTCAGAGCTGAAGGCTGCAGACAAGGCCTTGACCCAGCATCTATGGGTAGAGAATGTGTGGCGGGGTGTCTCTGTCCATGGGGTTTCAGTTGCCTTGTTTCTTCCCATCAGGCTGCACTCAAGCACATCCCCTAAAAAGCTCCAGTGATGGCGCAGAGAAGCTTCAGTGAGGCCACTCACCAATTCAATGTGCACGTGCTGAGTACCAACTGTATGTAAGCATGGGGAAAGAGGCTAGAACACAAGGGATAGAACACAGGATGGGCTGTGGTGCGGCAACCTCAGAGTGCCACCCTGGTGCGAAGAGATTACCGACGAGGGGTCACTTGGGAGAACAGGGTGTCTCAGTCACAGCCCAGATCTCAAGCTCTTCCTGGGGACAGGAGGTGAGCACACAGAGCCATGTAAAACAAATGGTGGGGAGGAGACCACTGTGCAGGACCTGGAAGGCAGTGGTCCAGCCTGGGAACTGGGGGAGGGACAGAGACTGGACAGGATCTTGTACAGAATAGCCAAGGCTTGTCCTTTACCTTCAGCATTAGGAAGAAGACACTAAGGTTCTGAACTTGAGTAAACCTTGAGGTTTTGGAGAAAGAATTAACAGCAAGACTCAACTGAACATGGAGGCTAGTTAGGAGGCCATGGAAGGCAAGGCTTCCGTGTGGGTGGTGACAGCCAAGGCTGTCCCCAGGCAGGGAGGGCTGCCGCCATACTCCCTTTGAATGGACAAGTGCTGGACAGCACGTGCTTCATGACCATAGTTCTTAGACAACACAAGTCAAGCAGCTTTGTCCTCGGGATGAGTGGATGTCCTGGTGGCTGTGAATGCACTCTGTCAATTCTCAGCCTCTACACCAGTTTTCTCTGCTGGCTGTGAGGACATAGTGAACAAGGGACCCCTGTCCTCAGAGCCTGTCACTGTTTGCACACCAGGGGCTCTAAGGGCCTGTTTGTGACAGACACACACATCTCCAAAGGACAAAAGCCTTTCAGCTGGACTCTCCGTGCCCTTCTCTCATCGTCTCCGCTTCCCTGAGGATTTGGGGTGCCAGTTATCAAGGAGCAGGAGGCCAGGGGAGCCCAGAGTGACCTGCTTACCTGGTGCAAGGCTGTGAGTCCATCCTCATTACACAGATCAGGGCTGACCTTGTTCTTCAGGAAGTAGCGTACTGCAAGAGGAAGAGACAAGAGTGAGGTTCCTGTCACACACTTGTAGGAACCCAGGAAGACACCCTCTCCCAGGCCCCAACACAAATGGTCTTGCATACGCCCAGTAGAAGGATAATGGGATGCTAACACCATCCCCATATCACAGATGAGGAAACTGAGGCATAGAACCTAGGTATTTGGTCTGGGATTTCCAAGCAGTACCTGTCTTATCCTGGGTCATATACACAAGGGCTGACAACTGTCCTGTCTTCCTCTGATCTGATCTCAGTCACTGATCTAAGCAGTTGGGTTTGTTCTTGGCAGTGCTGGGGTTGGACCCTGTGCATACTAAACGAGGGCTCTACCAATGAGCCGCACTGCTGGCCTTTTTTGTTTTGAGAGAAAGCCTTGCTTAGCAGCCCAGTCTAGTCTGAAACTTGCTATGTGGTCCAAGGAGGTCTCAAATGTACAATTTTCCTGCCTCAGCTTCCCTCCTCCCTGGACCCCGCTTCCCTAAGCAGAGCAGGGAGTAGGCAAGTGGAATTCTGGGCCAGAGGACTGGACAAGGGGCAGCTGCCTGAGGACATGTAGATGGAGGGGAAGTTTAGGCCTCAACCCAGCAAGGAAAAGTCTCCAGCAGAGTTGCTCAAGATGCACGGCGCAGGTGTGACAGGGTTCCACCCGGTCCCAGCTGGACCCTTCAGCTGCACTGTCCCCTATGGGGCCATAGGCCACACCAGGCCACGGCGGTCATTCACACTGGGATTGGTAAGCAAGTGAAACGTAGTGTCCACCACTCTGCCCAGCAGCGTGCTGGACGTGGAAAGGATGGAAATCACACATGCCCATCTTCATAGAGAGTGCAGGGGACACGGCTGCTTTCAGGCCTTGCAAATGGAAATCAGCTTCATATGCTCAAACCTTTCTCTGCTCTGCCCCACTGCTCTGAGAATAGCATCCTCTACCCCTGCCTTGGATGTAAAGTCTTGCACATTGATACCATCCCCGCTTCAGGTCACTGCCTTGCCCGATTCCACCGGGCACCATTCATGTTGTGGGTTTGGAGACTTACTGCCTCTGAAGCTGTGCAGTGAAAGGCTTGTGAGTTAATCCTGTCCATCTGCCCTCCACCTTCATTTCTTGAACTCCTAACATTTTCTGCAACAGTAGTTTGTGTCAGCTTAATAATCACATATCCTCTGACCTCTGAGCTTCTGTACAGCCTATTCTGGTTTCCTGGAAGACTCAATTATTTCTCCATTCAAGCATATATCCACAAATTCAGGCATGCATGCATGCATGCATCCAACCATCCATCTATGTACCATAATCTAGACACCCTCTCTAACATGCATCTGAGTATGTGTGCAATGGTATGTGTACACATATCTGCCTCATTCCTCATCCTTTAGGTCTCACTCAAACTCTCTGCTTCCTTCCCTGATATGTGTACTAAAGGATCCCAGCATCTCACAACCAACCATATCACAGCCATACTGTATGACTGGGTAATTACAGGTTTTGTATCTGTCTGCCTTCTGATCACTAGGCCCAAGAAAGCAGGAATGTAGCCTGGTTTCATGACTCTGTTCCCAAGGCCTGACACACATCCTCTGGAACTCCTCCAGGACCTTGACATCCTTGACAGTTCCTTAGCTCAGCTTAAAGACACAGTCTCAGGGCTGGAGAGATGGCTCAGTGATTAAAAAGCATTTGCTGCTCTTGCAGAGGATCCAGGTTCGGTTCCCAGAACCCGCATGGCAGCTTATAACCATCTGAAATTCCAGTTCCAGGGGACCCAATGCCCTCTTCTAACATTCTCAGGCAACATACATACATGTGGCACACAGATGTTCACATAAGATACAAATAAATAATATTAAGAAAATACGCACGGGCTCTCCACCTTAGACCACCTCAGACTACCTTGAGTGCTAACCCCAAGGGACAGACAACTGCTATAACAGGAAGGTCTCTCCACATGCAGGAGCTTCCCACAGAGCTTGGCAGAACCACTCAGTAGGTGATTCCAGCCCGGGGCTACTTAAGGAGATGACAGCAAAGCCACCGAGACAGCTATCTCCATTGTTGACTGGATTTGGAGTCACCATGGGCATTCCTGTGAGGACTTTTCCAAAGCTGTCTACCTGAAGAGGGAAGACACTCTGAATGTGGACAGCACTGTCTCATGGGCCGCCCTGGACTGAATAAAACAGAAAAAGAGCTGAGGACCAGGGTACACCACTCTCTGCTTCCTGGCTGTGGGTACAATGTGACCAGCCATCATGCCTCCCCTTCCACGACGGACTGTACCCTGGAACTGCAAGCCAAACCCTCCCTTCCCTAAGTTGCTTTGTCAGATATTTTTTGTCACAGTGATAAGAAATTACTAATATAGGCACTGACCACCCCAGGACCAGCTTGTATCTGGGCTGGCAATGGTGCCCTGCGCCTAACAGGTGGCTCTGGAGGAGAGAAGCGACCATGATGACCCAGGTGGGGCAGAGTTTCTAGAAGGCTCTTCTCACAGGAGCAGATTCTGGTTGTCTGGATGGATGATGGCTCAGGCTTCCTGTCCAGAAGACTCTCTGAGGCAGGAAATAGCATCAGCCGCCAACAGCAGCATTTGCACAGTAATTATCGGGGGCTCTCTGCACTGTGTGGGAGCCCAAGCCATGTAATTACCCTGAAGTCGGGCAGTTATTTTCATCCCAAGAAGTGGGACAAATCATCTCCAGCTCAAAGAAACCCCTAATACCTACAAGCCAAGGATGCCTCGGCAACTCTCACCAGGAGGCCAGAGCCTGGCTCTGAGCCCAGGATCCTGGAGCAAAGCCCCCACTACCCAGCTCCCTTTCTCTGTGTTCAGCAAGAAGGCTTACTCTGCTCTTGTCTGCTTTGTTGTTTGTTTTTTGAGGTGTTGGGATTAGAAGACAAGGCTCTACTACTCAGTTCCATGAACCAAGCTGAGGGCCGCTGTGGGGAGGAGGGGACGCTTCTTAGACCAGCTGAACACCTCCATAGGCCCCCGTGCCCCCACCCCCCACCACTGCCAGAAGGACTCCCACAAGCAGGACAGAAGAAACCCAGCTTGGTGACGGGTCACTTCCACTGTGTTCATCCCAGAGTGGCAGAGCTGAGTGTCACAATAGACTTTGAAGTGCCCATTGCCATGACAGGCCCTATGTGGCAAGGTCTGCAGAGGCTTGGTTTTCAAGGACCCACAGGGTGTGGCCCCACATAGAGCTCCCATCTCAACCAACTGAGAGGCCAGATTATTGTCATCAGTCTGTGCGCTTTGAAGTTGTACGCGGCCTGCTCATCCCTGCTGAGGTCTTCCATTTACCCCTCTGGATTCATGACTTACTCCATGAACACCCTGAACTATGTGAGGAGGCAGACTGTGGTCTAAGGGTTGACAGGGATTCAGGAAGCACAGAGCCAAAGAGGCACACTTTCTCCTCTAGCCAGGAGAGCCAGGGGCACGCTTGCTCTCTCCTCTAGCCAGGAGTGCCGGCTTCTTTCCTGATTGCTCCTCTTGGGGCTACTTTCTGCCCACCAGTCTCCAGCTTCCAGGCTTGGTTATGAGTTTATCAGAGTGAACCATATGTTCTGGAGTATGTGTTTAGCTGTGGCTTCAGCCTTCAGGTCCTTAGCTATAAAGTAGGGATCAAATGAGGACTTCTTTTTTAAGGTGCTATGAGGATTTAGTAAGAGAAGGTCTAAGTGCTACTATTATCAGTTGCTAAGAGAATAAACACTGAAACTAACTGGTGAGCTACACCTGGGTCCTACCTGGGCTGGGCATTGGGTACTGGGGATGTTCCCATGGGTATTGAAAATCACCCACAAGCTTCCAAGCCAGGCCTCACAGATGGAAGCGGCCTCTCTCCACAGAGCTCTAGCAAATGCAGGTAAGACCAGAGAGGCCTTGGAGGACATCCCTGTTCCCTGGTGGACAGAACACCCCTTGGTCCTGCCCCAGACCATCAAGTGGTGGCTCCTGCTCCCCTTCCCCACACATGTTGTTCCTGGTGTCCCCTCCCTGCTCAACCAATACCTCCCAGGCAATCTGGCTGGAATCTGGGCCAGCAAGGCCATCTGATCTTTTGCTCTCCAGCTGCAGCACAGGGCTCCATGGGGCCTTCTCTGGAGGAAGTTGGTGGCAGCTGCCTTCCTTCACAGGCAAAAGTCACCCCTGACAAGATTGTGCTTTCCTTTGTCATCTGACCCACCTTGTCCCCTAGAGCTCACTGCTTGACCACGAGCTGGTGAGTGACTTGTAAGCTCAGGGATGGGTCCCGCTCCTGCACCTGAGGACTGATGCGCGGAGGCAGCAGGGTCTTCCCGCAGCAGGTGGACCCTGAGCAAGATGCATCTTCCGGGGTGCCCAGGCCCACCTGCTGCCATCTGACCAGATGACTCGGGAGGCATGCTCAAGGTCACTGTGCTTCTTCCCTGTCACTGCGTTTCTACTGCATCAAGTTCCTGCAGGAACCAGTTCTCACTTCTCCCTCCAAACCCTACCTGCTCCCTCCCTGACTGCTGATCCTGCTGCACTGGCTTCTGTCATTTTCCAAACCAACCAAAGCTGGACTCCCAGACCCCAGGCTCCACGTGACAGCACCTGCATCTGAAGTCTTCTTCCTGGACCAGCAAACAGATTCTTTTTTGTCCTCCAGATTGCAGCCAAATGTCGCCTCTCTCTGACACCCTGCCCTTCCTTACTGCAGGAGCCTTTCCATCATGGTTCACACAGCCACTTGGCCCTAAGCCCTGAGGATTGTTCCTCACATTGTCTGCAGACATGAGGCTCCTCAGGGAGGGACTCAATGACCAAAAGAGCAACAATTAGGGGCCCTCCACTAGCATCCTTTATCCAAGTGAGGGGATCTGGAGGATGGCCTCAGGAGTCATCAGCCCTGCCTCACATGGCCTCCTCCCTGACACAATACTTTCTCTCTCTAATCCCTGGTCCTACACACTCCTTCTATAACCCAGTACTGTAATGGTTGTCTAA